TCTCACGCTTGGGCAGAGCGCGCGTGCGCGGCACGGTCCTTCGCTGAGGCGAGGGGCGCGCCGCGGGGACGCGCCCTGAGACCCCTCCCCCCCGCTCCCTCCCGGCGGGGGTTGTGGGGGGGGGCGTGGTGCGGCCGGCGGTGACACGTGGCCCTGCGCCAGTGCGGGCGTCCCGGGGTCCGGCTGCACGTGGGAATGCGGCGCTGAAGCTCTGCCCGAGGTCTGCTCGGCTTCCTGGATGGAGCCTCTCCCGTCTCCTGTCGGCTCTTCCTCGTTTTGAGAACAGAAGAGAAGCCCTGCTGGGTCAGGCCGGTGGCCCCTCCCGTCCAACACGCTGGGGCACTCACACAGCGGCCAAAACCCCACCAGCGGGGCCAGGACCCCCCCAGTAAAAAAAACAGCACCATGAAGACAGAGCATCCCTTTGCCCCAGACATAAGAACGTAAGAGAAGCCAATGTTGGATCAGGCCAGTGGCCCATCCGGTCCAACACTCAGTGTCACACAGTGGCCAAAACCCAGGGGCTGTCAGGAGGCCCACCAGTGGGGCCAGCATTCCAGAAGCCCCTCCCACTGTGGCCCCCCCAAGCACCAAGAATACAGAGCGTCTTTTGCAAGAGAATGCAAGAGAAGCCATGTTGGATCAGGCCAGTGGCCCATCTGGTCCAACACTCAGTGTCATGCAGTGGCCAAAACCCAGGGGCCGTCAGGAGGCCCCCCAGCGGGGTGAGAATTCCAGAAGCCCCTCCCACTGTGGCCCTCCCAAGCACCAAGAATACAGAGCACCCCTGCCCCAGACATAAGAACCTAAGAGAACCCAATGTTGGATCAGGCCAGTGGCCCCTCCAGGCAACACTCTGTGTCACACAGGGGCCAAGAATACCAGGGGCCCTCAGGAGGTCCAGCAGTGGGGCCGGGACACTAGAAGCCCTCCCATGGCTGCCCCCCAAGCACCAAGGAGACAGAGCATCCCTTGCCCCAGCCTGAGAGTTCCCTCTATACATTGTGAGCATGGCTAATAGCCACTGAGGGACCTCTGCTCTGATACACAAATCTGCCTGCCGAACTGGAAACACACGGAGTCCAACCGGTTAGATGACCATTTGTTTAATGCATTTAAAACAGGGAAT